TGAACCCATAGTCAAACCTTCCTCCTATAGGTATATAATAGACTCTAATTTGAAGAATGTTTTCTTCAATATTTCCATTAGATTATTTATTGAAATTTTAGTACGTTGTCAAAGGGAGGGGGCGATTCCAATCGGTTTCGAATCAGTGCCAGGCTTCATCTGTAGAAAACCTCGTAAAGTTGTAGCGCCGTACTATAGCGTCTGATAAAAGATCGTTTTCTTTGAGATCGTTACCCAGACGTCATCGACGACAAGTACTTGGACCTCGACTAACGATAATATTGTAATATAAATTCTAAAGTCTGTCTAATTAGACGTTCGCGTTGCAACAACTGCAACATCGCCTTCGTTTGAATTCCTCACATAAAATACTCCTATACAGGGTGCGATGGATAAATTGTCGTATAAATTACACAAAAATGGAAGTAATACTGACATCTCATTTTAACAGATATATATATACCAAAATTACGCAAAAATATCTTGAAATACTAAAGAGTAAATTTGTTCAATAAAATCGTCATTGGCTTCAACAACGGCCTACAGACGACTTCGGAATCACCTGCAACTCTTCAGGACGGTTTCCTTGTTAAAGTTGGTGAACGCTGTTATAATCCTTGGCTTTAGTTCATCTTTGGTGTTACAACGAGTTTTGTTGGTCACTCGCTCAACTGCGCTCTACACATAATAATCAAGGAGGATGCAGTCTGGGGAGTTAAGTAGGTAGATGTAAGGGGAGATGTGGTCGCAAGAATTTCCTGACAGCCATGACTGGGTTCTCCTGCTTGTGTGGCTTGGAGGAGAGTCCTGTTGCTAGACACAGGTTCTTCCAGCAGCCACCCTCTTGACCCAGGGCAGCACTACCTCCATAAAGCACTTGATGTAGGCTCCCGTGTTGAGACTGACACCCTTTGGGAAGATGAATGGAGGCATAACACCGCCATTACTAGTGACTACTACAAGCACCATGACGTTGACTGGATATGTCATCCAACTCTTTCCGAATCCTCTGCACTGTTCTCAGATTGACAAAGAAACACCCTAAAATGTTCGTGTCGGAGCTTCCAGTGCGAATGCCAAGCGATACAGCATCCCGTTTCCGAATTTCTGGCGGAGTGAATTGCGTCCCGTTGCTTTTTAACTCAGACAGCAACCAACTGACCCTACTATACTGTGCATTCGACAAAATAAAAAAAGGCGTAGGGAATTCTTATAGGGATTTATATTTACAAACTCAAAATAAAAAAAAAAAACAAACAAACAACGCGCATGCGCGAAATTAAAAATATAAAATGGTGACAATTTACCTATCGCACCCTGTATAGATTTAATCTTTCTCCATCAGAATTCGGATTATATTTAAATGAGAACAGATACTTCAAAAGTGAAAACGGAGATGAAATAAACTAACAGGGGTTTTCACGTTTGAAGGAAGATGTTTATCAGGAAAAAAAAAATAACTAGCGAACAAACACACACGTGACCTAATTGCACACATGCGAGCGTAGATAGTAATTTCGTCACTGTAAATGCATTGAATGTGTGTGTGAATTTGGCTCGCAGTTACAAGGAAATGTCGGGATTGCTTATGGATAGGAATGAAAAGATGAAGACAGCTGTTGGCTGATGTTGTCTGAAAATCTTTGGAGAAAGTTGCTTTCAGCAGTAAAAAAAAAAAAGAAAAAGAAAAGACGAGCAGTCGATAACTGAAAAAAAAAATAGGAGACGACGTTCTTCCATACAGATTTTACGCCGGAAGAAAGACTCAAGTCAATGTCTCTGCTAACAATAAAAATAAGATCAATTATTCTGAATAATATTTTCATAATACGAATTTCTTTTTCTTAGAGCGACGCAGAAATCAGAAGACGCTTTGTGACAGCGAAAGATGCTATCCAAAAGCTAAGCAAAGTACTAGGAAACAGGAAAATTTCGTTAGAAACAAAGAGAAAAGTACTGGACTGTTATGTAATATTAGTTCTTCTATATGGGAGTGAATGCTGGACAATCTCTTCACGATGAAGAATAGACTTAAAGCAACAAAAGCGTGGTTCTACAGAAGGATGATGAGAATATCATGTATCGATAATATAAGCAACGATGAAGATTTTGAGACAAAAAGAACACATGTTTAGCATCAGGAAGAGGCACTAGGGTAAGTAATGAGGAAAGCAGGTTTGGAGAATTTGATATTCACAAGACAGTTTGAAGGCAAGATGGACAAAGGGAAACAACGCATAGCCTACCCAACGAGGTTGAGTAAATAGATGGCAGAACTCTGTATAAGAGGGATAATTAAGAGACAGAATTTATTAAGAGCTACAGAAGACATGGAAATGTGGAAAGCCATCATCTCTAAAGGAACACGGTGCATGGTAGTTTATCGAAGCTTGGTAGTTTATCGAAATGCAAGTAAAACGTACGTGTGCCGCACTCAGCGTCTGTGGCCGCAATCTTAACATTTTAAAATGCGTGTTGTTGGCAAAGAGAGAAAGAAAATTGAAAGTACTCTTAGGTAGTAACATAAAAAAAAGAATACACGAATAAGAAAGAGAATATGGTTTGTCAGCAAAAGAGACAACTCGTGATTGTGAGCTACGTATTGGGGATGACAAATCAAGCAGGCGAGGAAATCTGGGTAGTATATTATAAGACGACGGAAAGTGTGACACTGGAATACGAAACTATGTCGCATATCCCTCTCGTTCTGGGGAGCTCGTGAGCGACGGCGACAGAACTCTCATAATGTTGTATCTTCTCTCTCTTCTCCTTCTCTCGGCCGGTGATCACTAGTTGTTTTGGTTCGGAGATAAAAGAACTTCAATAAAGGGAATTTTAACTTAAATATTTTATTAAACACGTCGACGTGAGGATTTCTATATATACAGTCGGTTCGCTCTCTCACACCAATGGGGAGGAGATCCAGAGACGAAAGGAACATGTCTACATTGTTCGACGTATAAGAACCAACTCCCCGAAAAATCTTTCTCTATTTATCATTCTCACGCTAGTTCGGCCAATCAAAATCGACTTCTTTTGTTTTGTCTTATATCTGACCTCAAAAGTCAAACCGAGGAAGTCAAAGCAGAAATACACTTCTCTAAATAAATAAAAGGCAGCTATTATTTAACAACAACGGAAATATCATTCTACAAGAGGATACTGAGAATACCAAGAACTGAAAATGTGAGTAACGAGGTTTTAGAGAAAAATGAAACAAAAAGAACAATTTTACTTAGAATCAGAAAAAAGACATAGAAAAATTTATAGGGCACATAATAGGGAAAGAAGAAAATTTATAGGGCACATAATGAGGAAAGAAGAAATTTTATAGGGCAACATTTATGGGGAAAGAAGAAAATTTAACACCTACAGGACATATTGAAAGCAAGAGGAGCAGGGGGAAGCAAGACCTTAGCTAACAAGCCTGTGTAGTGATTTTCCAAGCGGAGCTTAGATAGGACAAGGCCAGACGTATGGGGCACTCAGTGAGGAGTGAACTCACTACTCAGTCAATAGTTCCAGCGAGACAAGCTTGCTAACATTACACCGCTACGAGGTGCCCAACGAGCCAATGTAAATGGTTAGCAAAACAGTGTTTAGGAGATATAGCAAAAAAGATAAGAGGACTATAAAGGACAGGAAATTTCGGAGAGTCAACCTCTTGAAGAAACATGGTACATAGAAGAAGAAGACTACTCAGATTGGTATTAAACATATCGCCAGGTTCCCTCACGCAGTTTTCAGTGCCCAGGCATCCAGTCATGGTGTACGGCCACACTCTTAATAATGCTCCCTGCTTTGAAAGTTAGTCGGGACTTAAGTTTTACTTGAGGTCTGGATTGAGCAATCAATCGCTAAAGATGCTTGGAAAAAAGCTGGTTGCTTGTACCGCTCCTAATAGTACGTGATCCCTTCTACTATTCCCTATAATTACAAGAGCCAGATCAGTACGAACATGGAGCAGTGCTCGTATATCTGGACTGGAGCTGCTAAGTCCTTCAATGCCCAGTTTTTAAAGATTTCAAATTCATTTAGGCGGCTTCCAGCCTGCCGTTCCTTCCCCAAAAAACGCAATGTTGCAAGCCTATTTTTATTCTACCGTTACTTGACTCTTCAGGGGATCTCCATTCTTTAGTGCCACCATTTTAGATCTTTACAGCCAAGACTGGCCTTTTTTATGATCAGGGGGCTGAATCACTCTCATTTTCGACGAACTCCATTTATAAGAAGTATGTTTCCCTTAAGTAACTTCTTCCCAAGTAGAGTTAGTTTTTAGTACAAACTCCTGCATAGATCCTTCCTCGAACACTATGATCTTAACCTCTTAAAGTTTAGGTTTAACCGTTATCTATCCTCAATATTGTTGCTCATAATGACGGTCGTCTTCGAGTATAGAATCCAGAGGTTAGCAGTGAATATTTCGAAGACAGTAGGAAAGCGTTGTTCAGGTTAGCAGTGGATATTTTGGTAAAAGCAGAGCGTAGTTCGTCCTTCTGTTATCTCTTCGCCTGACAAGCTGTAACTGGACATTCGGGTAGAGTAGACAAAATGGCCGCCTTTATACACGACGGATTGAATGTTCTACGTCTTCTGATTGGTTAACCTTCTATTGATGGAATATAAAGTGAGTCAAGTCATTTGGGCTAACTCACTAGTAGATATGCGCAAAAAACTGCAACAATCTTAACCTCTTAAAGTATAGATTCAATCGTTATCTATCCTCAATATCCCCCCAAAATTTACCTTTCATCAATTTACAGTTGATCTTGCCAGATGTAACTAAATTCTATGCTAACAGTTTCTTTTCTCGCACTTTCATGCTTTCCAGCCAACATTAATCTGTAAAAATTTAAATGCAATATCAATCGCTATCTACTGTCTTCCTGATTGCACTTTTCTCTTTCCTCTCATTATTAATCTTTCTGTTCCTAATTCCTTCACACCATGTAACCCCTTCTGTCTTAGTGCCTTTACTACTTTGCATGGGCTGATATTGATTAAAAATATAGATAGATAGGTATAAAGAGACAGAGATAGATAGATAGATAGATAGATAGATAGATGAACAGACTGAGATAGAGGAACAAACTGAGATAGATAGATAGATAGATAGATAGATAGATAGATAGATAGATAGATAGATGAACAGAGTGAGATAGATGAACAGAATGAGATAGAGGAACAAACTGAGATAGATAGATAGATAGATAGATAGATAGATAGATAGATAGATAGAAACAGAATTGTATAGATAGATAGATAGATAGATAGATAGATAGATAGATAGATAGATATGAACAGGGTGAGATAGATAGCTGAATAGACTGAGAAGGATAGATAGATAGATAGATAGATAGATAGATAGATAGATAGATAGCTGAATAGACTGAGATAGATAGATAGATAGATAGATAGATAGATAGATAGATATCATATGTTGCAAACAATAAAAACTATCAAGTTTTGCATGCACTCACAGATCAATGGGAAGATAGACTGGCTTGTATCATTCATCCGTAACAAAGCTAGTAACGCTCCATTACCACTGAGCAGATTCCCTAAATTTCCTCTCATTCTGATAAACTGTTATACTCCTTGTCTTGAACGTCTATTGGCACTGAAGGTCACTTCAGTCCTCAAATGGAACTCATATATACGATCCATCGCTAAAAATTCAGATCAGACTAAGAATGCTAAACAATGCTACCATGTCTGGCCTGGAGCTGCCGATACTCTCTTTCCAATGTTGAAAGCGATTAAGCGACTCTCTAGGTGATAGATAGATATGGACAGAGATAGATGAACAGGCTGAGATAGAAAAACAAACTGAGATAGATAGATAAATAGATAAATATGAACATGCTTATATATATATATATATATATATATATATATATATATATATATATATATATGGAGAGAGATAGATAGAGAGTGAGAGAGAGATAAGAATAAACTGGAATAGATAAATTAGTCTGATTTTATAGATATTAACAAAATTTAATTTTCCTAGTTTTTTGCTAAGCTTAGTTTAATTTTGAATGCTGTTACAAAGTGTGACACACTGTGAGGACCAATCTCCCTATAGTATCAGTGTTCTATGAGACTAAATCGCTAACTGAACAGCGAAGCGCATGAAAAGGTCTTAATACGGTAATCTACGTCGACAGTATCTTTCGTTTAATGCCTTGGTTTTAACACTCGTCAACCCCTATCTGAATTTTGACGGCTATCGTTCTTACTGTCATGTACTGTCATAGTCAACCATTACGATAAGTGACCGCTTCTGTCCGTCTCTCTCGTCTTATTCGCCTAATTGTCTTATTTCCACTTGGACAATTCAGTTGGAATAATTTTGTTGGCAGCAGACTGACATACACGCCTTAGCGTGGCTAAATACGTGAGTTTCCCTCACTGGGTCTACGATGAACAGTCAGGTCAGCGGGATGAACAAAAAAAAGCTTTTGTACGATTGATGTGTCCATGGATTGGGATAACGTCTTAATTTAGGGGTAGGGAATTCTTAGAGGGATTTATATTTACAGACTCAAAATAGATACAAATGAAGAATAATGAACCTGAAGGTGAAGAAGAGGAAGGGGGGGGGACAAAAGGAAAGAAAAAGAAGAAACAGAAGAAAAAACACGAAAAAAAACAATAAGAAAAACAAAGGTGAAAAGAAAGGAAAAGAAAGAAAGAAAGAACGGAAAATAAAATGAAAAGGAAAATTGACAAAGAAAGAAAGAAAGAAAGAAAGAAAGAAAGAAAGAATGGTAGGGTACAAAAAATCCACAAAAATAAGACAGGCAAATAAATAAATAAATAAAGAAAGAAAGAAAGAAAGAAAGAAAGAAAGAAAAGACAAAAAAGGTGATTGGTAGGCACTGAAAGAAAGATAGAAATAAAGAAAAAGAGAAAAATAAAGAAAGAAAGAAAAGAGAAAAAGAACATTGACAAAGACAGAATAAAAGAAAGAAAGGAAAAAAAAGATGAAAATTGGCAAAGAAAATAGAAAAAGAAAATAGAAAAAGAAAATTAAAGAACTAGCTTAAATGACACTATCGGACGGAATTCAAGCTAGCTCCTGTGGAGGGCTCTTGATTGTGCCTTCATCCCAATAGCTAGGGAGGAGTAGATGCGATAGGCAACAATAAACTACAGAAGAACTCAAAAACTGATCGTTGCATTTAAGTATTACATTAATATTTAAGCTTGCCTTTTAGAAGTTCAATGTTAATTCTTCTTTCGCCACTTAACTTAAAGACAATTTGATTTACGTAGGCCCTTACTTTTCGTACAAAGAATTATTTTTATTTCATGGCTGCCTTTCGCTGGATTTCGCAATTAATTTCGATTATTCCCAAATTTATTTCCAAGTTAAAAGAATTGTTATCGTACAAAAATTTGGTCGCAAAAATCGCCGAAAACTATGGTAATAATGAAAACTTGGGAATCCATAATTTCAGGATTACGGGTCCCGATCCGACCCGGAATGTTTTTAATTTACTCACGGAGTCGTCCTGATTTCAGAATGATATGATATGTTGGGCCTCTAAGAGTAAAATTGAAAATACGGACAATTTTATTTTGAAATACTCTGAGAACAGTATTTTTTTTTCATTTTGAACATAAGCTATTGAAAATTAGAGAGTTGTATCCATTGATTTGCTTTTATCAGTAGAAACCAACATGGCGCAATCAGAAAAACAATATCGCATTTGGGAATCCAAAATTTCAGGATTACCGGTCCGGATCCGACCCGGAATGTTTTTAATTTACTCACGGAGTCGGCTTGATTCCAAAATGGTATAACGTGTTGGGCGACGGCCTCTAGGATTAAAGTTGAAAAAGCGTGACACACTGACATTTTCATTTATTATATAGAAAAAATAATGGCGGATAAAAATATCGTTTCAAATTTTTAAAAGAATTTTTATATCTGACATTATTCCTTTTTAATGCTGTTTACGGTTCGGGTACAAAACTGAAGCGAGCACCTATTGATTCGTAGAAGTCCTAACGAGGAAAAACAGGCAATTCTAACTTCCTCCTGTCTCCGTAGCCGAAGTGGTAGAGGTAAACTTTGATGCAAAAATAATTCTCTGGTAGAAAAAGTGGCGTAGGTTCGTTTCCTGCCTGAGGTACCTTTTTTTTCAGCATGATTTTAAACCGGTTGTTCTTAATTTCGCTGTTTATTGAAATAAAAACTACATGGATGGCGACCTTTATAATTGTACCCATAAAAAATAACGTTTATAATAATAAGGAATAATATCGGAGAAAAAATCCTTTCAAAAATAACTCTCCTTGTATTTATCAGAAAGTCATGATCTAGACCTCTACTCCTAGGTTTTATGTGACACTGAGCCTATTTTTTTTTCACTGAAAATCTCTCCAAATTCTAAATATGTGAAATGTAAAATTTAAGTTCTTTTGGGAAATTTTGACTTTTCACTGGAGATCAGCGTTTCTCGATCTAAACTCCTATATTTTTTAAGTAGAAATGTGAACATTTTCTTTAACCATCCTCTTAAGTGCAAAAAGCATTAAACCAGTTCCATAATTGACTAGAAAATCATTCAGGGGGAACAAAATCCACAGATGTCCGCTGTGTGATATTTTGAGTTATTGTTTCTTGCCTATGGAAGAGAACGGGTCGTTTTTTGAGGACAACTAGAAGCCTCTTTTGAATGCTGATATATTGTTTTTAGAGAAATAGACCCTTCCAACTTTGCCCTCTGACGCTGCACGGTCTACTCAAAACCCTTGGATTTTGCGCATTATTTCATTCTTTCTTAAGCGTCCCTGATAATTATTTTCCGCCTTTCCCGGCGATCAAAATAGAATGGTCCATTATGAAGTATTGGCTGGGCGTAACGTATGAATTATAATATGATTATTTAAAAGAAAATTAAACTACTTTATCGACGGACTAGCAGCATGGCCCGGCGTTGCCCGTGCTTGATTCAAAAATCGTACGGCTCATACAGCAATCGCTATCACTTGACTTAAAATATTTTGCCGTTCCTTGCCTTTAAAGGAGTGCCCTTTGCCGTGCTGATGTTGCTATATGCCTTACTTCTTGCCTATCTCACACTGCGAATTTTTTCTAAGCTCTATACTAAACATTAAATCTGTTACGAAAAAAGAACTAAACAAAATGAACACAAAACGATCAGCTTTAAAAAAGAACTCGTAACTGGAAAAACTGAATGAAAAAAGAATGTTAACAATAAATAATTTTTCACACCCAACCCAGTTCTGCGGAATCAGAATCAACGTTGAGTTTAAGCAAGCGAATGAGCCAATTGGAGTAAAGTGCCATGTAGATTTAAATTTTTCCCACTTGTGACGAATACAGCTATCGATTTTTTTGCATGCTATCATGCTAGTTAACATTCGTGTCTTTCAGCTGTTGGCTCTCACGCTGTCCAATAGAATCTTCCTGCCTATTCGTGGCAGCCAGCTATAGGCTCTCACTCTGGCCAGTAGAAAATGTCCGCAAACTACATGAAAACTGCCGTAGAAGCATGAAAAACCGATTATATCCACTATCGATGGGAGCTGGGAAATGCAACGTCGGTCTTGGCCTTCCCGCTAACTTGGAGCATGTGCATGTAAATTTTGGTGCAAGTCCGTCGAAAATTGCGGCCGTCCATTCGTTACACACATACAGACACACACACACACACACACACATCCTGCCTTTTATAGATAGAGATATACAGTGTGATAAACAATTGAGTACTATAAATCATTATGATAAAAAACACATATCCATTATTAATAATAATAATGAGTTATTATATTTAAATCCGTGGAAGGTGTTTTTATCTTTATAACTTATATTCTAGCATGTTAAAAATAAGAAAGTAACGAACAAAATACTTGAAAATAATGGTTTACAATACGTAAATCCGTGTAAGGTAGATTTTAGCACTATGACCGTTTTGCAAAAAACACTTGCACCTGTTAAAAATAACGTTTAAAATAATTATAAAATAATGTCATAGAGAAAAAAATCCTTTCAAAAATAATTTTCCTTGTATTCATCAGAAAATCATGATCTAGACCTCTATTCCGAAGTTTTATGTGGCACTGAATCTATTTTGTTTTTACTGAAAATCATTATAAAAAAAAAACACATATCCATTATTGATAATAATAATAATGAATTATATTTAAATAAAAAGTAAAGAAAATAAAGAAAAGGAAGTAGGTTATTCGAGAAAATTGTAGTTTATTCTAATTAAAATAATTTTCCAATTCAATACGATTTTGGTTTTTGGATCTTATCTAAATTGGTTCAATATCCGGGTCATAAGATGTGACATTTAATTTAATATAGGATGGCAGGTTTTGGTCAGATAATTTTGAGCGATACTTTAACTTGATGAAAATCATTTGAGAGAAAATTTGTTCACAAAATAATTTGATATGAAAATTGATATTAGACTGAATGCCAATTTCTAAAATGCTTTTACGGTTACCAGGAATTAAATCCGAAGAATCCGATATCAATCTGGACGTGAAATCATTTGAATCTCCTACAAGTTTGGCTATTTCCATCTGAAGGTCACTTTGGCTAATCTCCGGAAATATGGATAGATTTACTTCACATATTTCGGTGTCAGAAGTTGTTACAGGAGCCGCTAAAGTGGCTTTTTCTTTTCGCAAAAATCTGAGGAGAAATGCTCTAATTTTTGTTTGTTTAGGATTTTTTTTCTTTCTTTTTATGTGCCATGTCCTTTTAGGACGTAGACGATCATGACCCTCCATCTCCCTCTATCCCTTGCAACTCTCAACATGTTTCTTCTCTCTGCTATCTCCCCCAGTCTACGTTCTGTCAATTCACCTGATCAAGCACGCCAGGAGTGTCATGCACTGATTTCCCTTGTCTTTATTTCCCTCTATTCGACCCGTGAGTATCAAATTCTCAAGGCCCTCTTTCCTCATTATGTGTCCCAGAAACTTTAGCTGCCTCTTCCTGAGCCTCCTCCTTGTTTGCATTTTCTCCAAGACCTCATCGTTGCTCACACACTCAGTCGACGAAATCCTCAGCATCTTTCTGTAGAACTACGTCACCTCGAGTCTCTTTTTTATCCTTGAGGAAATCGTCCAGCATTCGCTGCCGCAAAGAAGGATGGATGTCATGTAACAGCTCAGTATCCTTTTCTTTCTTACCAATCTCGCAATCCTCCTGTCTCGCAATCCTCCTGTCTCGCAACACTCTGCCCAGCTTTTGGAATGCGTCCTTGGCCATCCCAGTACGTCTACGGATCTCGGTGTCTCATTTACCGTCCTCTGTCAGACCGCTTCCCAGATATTTAAACTTCCGCCTCTGCTTGATTCTAGTATTCTCGACCTGCAAATCGCATTTCGGGCTCATCCCCTTTCTAACATACTATATATTAACTTTTATTAAAAATGCTTCCCTAAACGAAAGAAAAATGAGTTAGTTCAGTGTCTTTGATGTCATAAATTTTCATAAAATCGCGTTCAAATGCCAAAAGCTCATCTTACAACTAAACACACGTGTTTCCCTAACAGATTTTTGCAAAGTAATTGTAAGTCAACTCAGAAAAGCTATTTCTTACTACTGTTCACCAAAGATAAGGCCGTAGAGCTACTCAAAGGACCCGTTTGCGGAATTAGATTATTGTGAGGGCGTACAGGAGGAGAAAGGAAGGAGAGGCCCATATTATGAAGACATGTAGAATAGATAACGGTTAACCCCCAGATTTCAAGATTGTAGAGCTCGGGGAAGCATTATCTCGGGAGTATGTCCCTCAAAATAATCGATCTAGGGAAGATGTATGTGCTGAACTTATTCATTATCAAAAGAGAAAGAAAGGAATGAAGGATTATTTTACGCTGTGTACACGTCATGTCGGGACACGTCATGTCGGGTCCTAGCGGCGAAGGTCTGAACTAGTTGACTTAAGGAAGGT